TTACACAGCTTCCATTTTTGGTGACGAACAAACAGTTGTCCATTTGCGTGGAGGTGAGCACTAGGACAGAAACTGCAGTACAGCCCTACCAAACAAGTATCTGATCTGGAATCTTTCACCAATGAGTGGACACTTGTGTATGTGTGGACCAACCTCCATGTAGCTGCCCCATAGATTTCAGAAATTGGGACATTCTTCGAACAGGAAGGAGAGACTGCCTGAGCTCCAGAGGTGGCTAGGTGGTTCTAACCTGGCTAACTCATAACATGTCTACATACAGGTTGGAGGCGCACTTATGTAACTTCTGAGAACATAGCCTGACCCTTAAACCTCTCTGCAAAGGCCACTAACATCAAGGTGTGTTTCTGAATGGATTTGTCCTATCAATGTAAAAAGAAACTGCCCTTATTGTAGTATGTTTGTGCGATTTAGCTTCCTCTGAGGTTGAATGAGGCTTGAGGAAAAATACCAGGAGATAATAAGCTGGTTTATGTGGAATTCTGAAACAAATAGGACGAGGCCTTTGAGTGAGCCTGTCCTTATGGAACACTGTATAAGGGGTATCCATCATGAAGAGCTGAATCTCCCTATCCTTCGAATCAATGTCAATTGCCAGTAAAAAGACAGTCTTCACAGATAAACAGTAAAATGAACAGGTTGTTAAGAGTTCAAAAGAGTCCATTCAGCCAGGTGACCCTATATGGAAATCCCAAGAAGGAGGGGGCTTCCGAGATTGGGGGAAACAAATGAAATGAGACCTTTGAGGAATCTAGCAACTGTAGGGTGGGGAAAATATGGTCTTACCATGAACTACAGGATGATGTATAGATATTGTAGCTAAGTGTTCTCCCTGTGGAGCTGATAGACAGTCCCAAAAAAGTTTCATTGTTAGTAGGTAGTCCAGAATAGCAGAAACAAAGGGAGACATGACACTGCACTGCTCACATAGAAAATCTTTTCTATTTTTCTAAATCGATCAGCCTGTGTATTTCTTGCACTACCTCCTGCTGATGCTGACTGAAGATGACCCTCTTGAGTTAGACCTATGATGGGTTTTTTGGGGTGATGGGGAGGGAGGGGAATCAGTCTGGAGGGATACTCTGTCTGCTGCTTACTGTAGGCACACTAGAAGACATTACCTTGACTAGTGATTGATTTGTGTAGTCTGAAGTTATAGAAATAAAACCCCCCAAAATGCTCATGCTATGTATATAGGACATGCACCCAATCACACATGTCTGCAGCTTCTTTGGACACCACACTGAATTCTAACGCTGTGTTCAGCTTTGTTACGAATACAGTGTGATATGATGTATAACATACAATTTTAAAACTGCCCCAAATGCCACTAATACTATCACTTTGAAATGCGTACAATAGTATCACTACTGCTAAAAAATGCTTGAAATAATCTTCAAATGTTACAAACCTGCTATTAATAGCAAATGAATATGGACAGACATCTACCTTTTAATTATTTCCGAAGACAGACTTCCACTTTTATGAAGGGCGTATTTGCTGCTTAGAAGTATGAAATATATTTTAACACTGCTGTATGCATGCATTTCATGTTAGTAAAAACAAGAACCAGCTTTCTTCTTAGAAAGACATTGAATTACTTTCATTATGTGACAAATAGGCACCTTAGAAAATTCCACTTAGCATAGATCTGCACCTTTAGGCTCCTAATTTCCTTTATAAATCTGGCCTGAATTGTTTTTAGACTGTGAAGTGCCAGGAATTTCACTACAAGGACACAGAAAGCTTTAGGTACACGGAATGCAACCAGGAAATAGGATCAGTGACTGAATATAAAATATGCCTTGAAATGGTTGAATTTCTTTGTTGTTTCTTAAATGCATGATTACTTTTATCCAAAACGCTGAACTCCTGAGGAGTTGTGCTTGTCAGAGAAAAGTTGCTGGTCTTAACTTCAGTGAGTAAGTTTAGGCTCAGGGAGACCTTGAAGGTTTCCATTTTGTAAAATATATGCCTGAGAAAAAGAAGAAGATCCAATCTCTGCTGTAATGCTGTTGTAACCATGCCTAGATCTCTTTCATCTGCTGGTTTTGCATTACTACCTTCTTCAAAGACTTCTGGGTAACACATGCTATCTAAAACCACAGGTGAGCTTACGTCAGGTTTAAAAGGGGAGATCTCAAACGAAACCTGAAATATAATCTCTGGTCAAGCTTGAGATACCTTGGCGGCCGTTAACATTTCAATCAAATCGTGAAATGCAGCCTCTTCATTATTTCTCAACACAGTGACAAGTATCCCTACCTATACTGCCCTGCCAGACTGAAACTCACATGGTTTAAAAAAAATAGATAAAATAAAAAACATTTAGAAATAGCAGAAATTCTACTTTTTCCTCCTCAGTGTTTTAACAACCAAATTGCATTTAGATACAGGCACTCTAAAGGACAGCAAGATAAGTAAAATAACATGAGATAAGGAAAGCCAGAAAGCCTCACCTCTTATGCTACCTTTTCCCCAGCCTTTGTTATATTTTTATTGGAAAAGATAGTGACCTGAGATATAGCTCCCAAGGAAGCTGGCTACATTTAAGGCAATCTAAGCCTGTTTCTCCTAAAACAATCTACCCCAAAACGCAACAGCAGGACAATAGGCTAAAGGCATAGAACTTCTCTACAGTTAGCAGATCACTTTGAACTAGGTTGAAGGAAGCTTTCTGTTTTGTTTTGTTACTTTATTGTCCAGAGGGCTAGGTGTTGATTATTCAACCTAACGCTTTACTGCGCCAGCCTCTCTCTTGTGCCTGCTAGCCCACAGAACGAAGTTGCTTTCATTCAAACAGAATATCTGATTTTAACAGCCTAGCTGGGATTCACACTAATAGAGCCTTTTGATTTGGCAGAATCAGTTTGTATGGCTCTTCGAACTGTCAGATGTTAATAGGAACATTGTCAAGGCTTAATGATGTAAAACTGGAGCACTTACATATTCAGCCCTCCCTCCACTATATAGATGTCTCGAAGACTTGAAATTCTTAGAAAATGCTTGAATACGAAAAAGAATACCATCAGAATACCATCAGAAGCCCTGAACTCATGAGCAACAAACAAGATAATGTGCAATGGATTTAAAAAAAGAAAACGGGCTGTGTTTCTGCTTTGCGTCACCAACATAAAACACCAATTTTTCAAAGGATACAGTATATTCAGATATTTACAAAGATTAATAAGAAAGCTGATGTAACTCATCCTTATACATCTTTCTTTCTCCGTGCTTATATGGCACTTATCCCGCCCCCATCAAAAAAAAAAAAAAAATTCATCCCAAGCATGACATTTACATTAATGCTGCAGTAGTGGGATTTTGCAACGAAATCCCCATCAACATATTGAAATTGACTGTTGCACTGTTGAAACGCCAAGTATTGAAATGGATCTCTGCAAGTAAAATAAATCAATCATCTTGTGGAAACAAGCACTAGAGCACTGGGAAAGAATTCATAATTTAGACAAATATTTAATGTGACATGTCACTATTTAATACACGGGTACCACAGTCACACCAATGCTTGCTACAACGGCACGATGAGCCGAAGGCATAACTTTTAAGAGGATATTTTTAAGACCGATAATTTAAAGAAAAGCTTTCAGTAAAAATATAGACGGACTTAAATTGAAATAAACCCTAACTGTGTCAGTCATATTCTGCTGTCTTAAGAAAATCCTTACTCTGTGACAGTGCTACAAATGAGTATAGAAGTGACAGTGTACTGCCATCATGAGGATCTTTGGTAGTACTGCCTGTTCAAACCATAATATATTGTCATCTTTAATAAAGAGACAATAATAATACCCTATGTTCCAAAGACTCCATTATAAAACATCCAGCATCAACACCATGTGTTCTCGCCCCATTTTTACATTGGGCTCATTGAGATTTATCTTCTAGCCTGTATGGATTTCTGTCAAAAAAGGAAACTCGCTTAACATTAGGACTAAAAAAAAAAAAAAAAAAAAGATACTTAATGGGTCATGTTTCATCAGAAGCGCAAGAGAGAAAACCCATCTCATTCTTACAAGGAAACTGATTGTTATAATTTGATCATCAATAAAAACTTCCCTGGTTATTTACAAACGAATGTTCAAGTACAGCCTGGGGCCAAAGATAATCTCAGTTTCAGAAGCAATGTAATTAAAAAGGGTTACACCATCTCAGTATACTACACGTCATTACCACAAAATGAAGATGAATTTTCATGTGGCATATTCCTTAGAACAAATACTTATGGAAAATAAACATCTTTTCTCCTGGATCACACCACTGTCTTGCTCTTTTGGTTTTTAAAAAGTGACCATGAGTGTATTCTCCATAAGAAAGCTATCTCAGCATTGGTGCACATGGATAACATTTACTAAAACACGTTCAAAGTTAAAAAAATCTTTCACTTTGTTCTTACTGGAACCAACCTTTAAAATCTGCGCTATAAAAACTAAAAAAATTGCACATTCCCTTTTTGGTACCAAACGTAACAAACCAGGAATACCAAACACTTAACCAGCTCTGCATAATGCTGATGAATGATTTTCAAAATATATAAAATCCAGCTGGGAGAAGGGCATAGTTGCAACATGCTATATGTATTTTTCTTCTTCACAGACAAAATATACCTCACACACATCTGGGAAATGTCCACTTATAAAATTTTAAATATCATTTATCTGACTTAAACAAACAAACTAAGGATTTGAGATTTCAAATTTACTCACAATAAGAAAATCAATTACATACATGGGACGTTCACAAAAAAGATACAGGGTCAGGCCCAAGAGTACATTTAAAATGAAATTGACCTAAAAAGTAACAGCAATGAATATTATTAAATGACAAAATTGGATGAGCAATCCAAATTAAATAATCTGAATTTAAATATTGCTTTAATTATTATAGTCAAATAAACTTGACTATTTTAATAAGGTGTCTAAAGTTCTCTAAGTGAGTAAGAAAGGCTTCTTGAAAGTTACCTGCTTGGTTCGAAGGTTGCCAACCTGAGTATTTGATAGCACTCTGAGGTCCGGTTGGTTTAAAGGCTGTAGCAGATGTGATATTGGCTGCAGCTGGTTTGGTGTCAGTTTTGTCTGGACTTACAGGCATGCTCCTCACTGAGGCAGCGGCATAAGCAACAGGCTGTGAAGCCTCCAGGGAATCACTGTTCAGAGACAAAAAGAGTATTTCTTACCCAAAACAGGAACACACTGAAGTGATGGTACATGTAAGACCAAGATGTAAAGGGTTTTCCATTCATACTAAACCACGAGTTGCATGAGCAGTTTTATCATAATCATACTTGAAATTACTTTCTCTTATGCAAAAAGTCACAGATTGGTCCCAAATCCTACAAAACCTTGCCCTCAAGACGCCTTTTAAAATCAAGATTTATTTAAAAACTAAGCCCACCTATCTTTTCTCTTCTCCGCTATACATAATCTCTCTTACTGAGGGTTGGTTTTTTTGAATACTGCATATTTAGAAACTAAATGTTCCTGCTAAGACCAATTACCGGTATATACTTTTTAAAAGCTATTTTCTTAAAATTTCCACAAATAGTCAACATAAAAGTCCCTTTTACAGCATCTTTTCTAAACACCTAAATTTGTCACTGAACAGGAGTAGAGGTAGAATTCTCTACTGCAAACTCAGCATGACTCGAAGACTATTCCATTTCTGACTTTTAAAATAGATTAACATTTTCTTCCTGGATAGTGGGTAAGTGTCCATATGTTCATGTTTTATTTGTAGCTCTCCATAAAAATGTCAGCACAAAAATGACTGACACACATAAGTGATGGGCAACTACATTCCCATATCTGATTATTTTAGTATTTGAAAAGAGCTTTAATCGTTTCATACCTGCATGTTTGAAAGCACAAACATCTCAAATAAAGATTTGTGCAAGGTTACTTGTTTTAAAAACCCTAGTATTTATCGCTGAAAAATGAAAAATATTTTAGTAAGAAACCTTTAAAATAATACTATACTTGCTAATGAAAGTAATTTGTTAACAAATAGAACCACAAACAGCAGGAAACACTAACTATTTCTGTAACACAAAGACATGGCACAACAGAGCCAAAGCCACATCCATATTTTGTCCCTCCTTGAAATCTGAAATCCTAACACCTTTGAAATCCTATAAACTTTACAACTCTACAGCACATGTGGATTGACTGGACGTACTGAAACACAGCTATGCTTGGTATTAGCATATGATACCAAGTTTGTCTCGTAAAAATCCCTGAGACTTTTTAGTGAAAACTAGTTAATACATGTGCACAATAATGACTTGTCTATAAAAAAAAAGAACTTTAATACTCTCCAGCGCTATCCCTCATTATGAACTAGTGACCTCGCCTTCTGTTTGCCAGTCACAGTGAAGTGTCAATATTTCATGTGCCTAATCCACAAACAAGGAAATTCAGACTTAAGTTAAAACCAAATCCTCAGTTCACCTCATTGTATTTACAGCAGTTATTGCAATTACACAAACCTTTAATTATCGGAATAGCTGTGATCAGCTGCCATGGTGACTGATTTACTATTTATTGAATGTATGTGTAGTGACACACTGAGCATAAAAAGGAAACCCCCATGTTCTGTAGCGTTAATATGTTTGTCAAAAAATTGTTGGAGGCACAAATCCATAGATTACTGATTCTTTAGAAGCTTAAAATATACACCCTTTCAACAGCAGGCTTTAAGAAGGTGTTAAGGATCTGTAGTAGCAAAGTGTGTATATTTGAAGACAATGAAAAAGGACATGATTAAATAGTAGCCCATCTACCGATGAGGATTAGACACGTAGGCCTTGTCTTAACTATGAAAAAAGGTCTATTTTTAACTTGAGCAAAATTCTAGTGACGAAAGCCAATTTGTAGTTTTCACATAAGTGAGTCGGTTGAGTTAAACCCTGGGTTCCCCCAGGGCCTTAAAACTTGACCTGCTAACTTGCAAGAAAATGACAAATTGCCTCATCCTCACAAGGCTTTTACCTCAAGTTATCCAAGTCAAACTCAGAACACATTTTTTCATCGCAAAGATGAGGTCGAAGGAGAAGGCCTGTTCTGGCCCCTTTACCCTGGGTAAAAGGGCCAGAGTGGCATAAAGGGACACAAAAAGCCCTGATTCCAGCTGGGGGAGTGCTTGTCCCAGGAAAATTCTATGGAAAACAGTTATAAACCTGTCTTCCAATGACCCTGTCTCAAGTCCTGGCATAGGGGGAGCGCCAACGGCATGGATCAAGAGGTGAGGGGCCACATCACAGTCTGGACCACAGTATGCAGCACTGTGGAGATTTTGAGCAGTGCTGCTATCCACAGTGTAGCCTGGGTAGGCTGCTGTACGTTAAATAGCCGCTCAGTGCTGTCCCAATTATGCCGAAGAGTGTCTCTAGGCCCTGAAACAGCTCAGCATTGAGGGAGTACAAAGGAGGCTTAAACCCACTCCAGCGTGCCCTTCCCCCCTGCCCCACCTTAAAGTACAGCAGAGAGTCTCAGCCCAAGAGCACACAACAAAGACTTGGATTCTACAACTGACTTCTGATCAGCGTCCAATTCATTCAAGGTCCCCATCCTGATAGTTAAAACTTTTCATCATCTTGGAGCAGACAAACAATTCTTCATCCACTACCATCCCCAGACCAGTGGGTGCTCATGTCTACAGTGAGCTAGGATAACTCATGGACTGGAGACAGAGGCACTTTCACTGCTGAGTCCCATGCTGTGGAAATTCCCATCAGAGAAGATAAGCATATCCTGCAGTCTTATCGTTTTCAAAGGCCAGTGGGGGGGGGCGGGGGGCACCCTTTCATAATAGCCTGTCTTCACTTTCTGTGGCAGACAGCGACAGGAAGAAAAGTAGGTAATTCAGCCATACCCCAGGACAGCATGAGCATAGTCTGTGCCTGCTTTTGTTTTTATACTGACTCTTAACAACTGTATTACGTGCATCTCATTAGTATGATGAAGCACATTTTATATTTCACTTAAATTAAATAACAGAAAAAAGTTAGCAGTCCGTGATCATTTGACCTTAATGCCACCATTTGGCTTTCTTTCGGAAGATCCTGTAAGAACTTGGGTTGTTACAGTTTGAAGTGACCTTTAAACAGCAGATTATTTTTCCAGGCGGTGTCATTTTTCTATTTTCAGTGTATGTTTATGATAAATTTGAAGTCCAAACAGTGACGGCATGCTTGTTTATTTGGACAGTATTTGGTTTGCAATTCATTAACACAGTACATGCCGAAGGGCTGGTCTACACCGAAAACTTGTATCAGCACAGCTATGTCTCTCAGCATTGTGAAAAACCCACACCCTTGAGATGTGTAGCTATACCAACCTAACCCCAAGTGTAGACAGTGCTACGTCAACAGAAGAATTCTTACTTCGACCTAGGTATCGCCTCTCAGGGAGGAGAACTGACTACCATGATCGGAAAACCCTTCCTGTTGCTGTTGTGTTTTAAGTGTAGACATCGCCTACATTTTGGGGGTTTTGTGAACGTAGCCTCCCTTTTAGCATGTGCAATTACCTATTGGTGTAAATGTTATCTGAATGCCTAAGCACCTGATTGCACCAAGAAATCAGGCAGAATCTCCAAATGATATAAGGTGTGCTGCAAAAAAAAACTGGTTCCACAAGAAAAATGAGGTTAAGGCCCTGTTTAAAAAAAAAAAAAATCAAGCACTAATATAGTAATAACTTAGGCGGTGATCCAAAGCTCACTGAAATCAATGGGAGTCCTTTCATTGGGTTTTGGCTCAGGCCCCTCAGATATAAGTAAACTTACTCCCATAAAGGCCTCAAAAAAATGAAAGTTATTCAGCAAAGCTGACAGCAATTTGTTTTTCTGCTCCCTCGGCTCTTCCAAGTTTTCCCCACCCCAGTAGCTTTACATCACATTCATCTTGTCTTAAAAACTCAGTCAATATGGAAACCAGTCTTACAAGTGCTAATTTTCCCCACAAATCCCTTTCTGATTTGAGTCCATGATTCAGTCAGAGATTGTTTAATGGGGTTGTGTATTTAGGGAAGACTGAGGACCTCCTGAATGAGAGTGCTCAAAACACATCTCCTAGACTGTCAAGTTGATCTGATATACTCACCATCACAGCCACTCAGGCAAGAGCCCAATTATAACTTGAGGATTTTCTCAAGAGACTTACTTTCTTCCTCCATTAGCAAAAATAGAAGCAGTTTCCTTTCCCTCCACTCCAAAAACCAATCACCACCTGACAAACCACCTTTAAAGTAAAATATGTTCCCTCATACAAGAGCACACGTAAGAAAATCCTACTGAATCAACAGCTTCCTTTGCACAAAGACAGCTTTGTTTTTTAAAAATTAGCAAGGTGGAGCCAGATTCTGAGAGGCTATCAATAAGCTCCATTGACTTGCATTCATTCTACCCAACTTACATCATTGGAGAATCTGGCTCAAAAATGGAAAAAGCAACTTCCCAAAGTGGAAGCACCAGATGCTGAAAACACAGCAGCTTGCTGCATTATAATATCCTATTTAAAAAACAAACAAACAAAAACATTTGTATGGGATGACAGAGGTAAACCCAGTGGACAATTGCGGTCTTTAAGACCTCTTTCAGCTGCTGCTCTATTTTGTGGGGGCAACAACTGATTTATTTTTGTTCATATAAGGATACACAAGTCATCTTTAACCATACTAAACTTGAAATATGTATAGAAGTGCAATTTGGAATGCCTAAAGCACTCAGGACAGAAATAGTGAAGTTAAATATCTGCAATTGCAAGTCATCTCAAGATATAGATGACAGCGGGTCATAGCTAGCTGTTATCTGAATCAATCTCATGATATTTTATGTTTTTATTAAAGCTTCAGCTCCTGGAGTCATGGGATAAAGTGAGACTCCCAGATTTCATTTAAAACCAAAAGGCAAATAAAAAGAGACCAATACTTTTTTTTAAAAAGAAAAATGTCGTTTTTAAGTTAGTTTTCTGATTTTTGAATGCTCAGAGTCCACAATATTGTGCTCCAGATGTAACCAAGGGAGAAACTTAACAGAGAAAAGTTCCAAGCCATGGTTTCAGCAGCCCTTGAGATGGAACTCAGACACCTCTTCCTGCTCCTTCTGTCTGTTCGAGTGACCAAAGAGACTGAAGTGTTCTCCGACTGG